CCAAGATTCCCAAATTTGATCGCTCTAACCTCTTTTAAAATTTCTTGAAACTTTTAGGAGGTCGATCAGAGAGGCGCGCGCGGGATCCGTCGGTACTAAACGGGAACAGGTGTCATTTGGTGTCAAAGCGTAATCATCGCTCGAACGCGTCGTGGGTGGCGAGACGCCAGGGGGCGCCACATGCCACCCCGCGAGCCCCTCGGGTGGCTCTTGTCGCGCTCCCGTTCCCAGGCGGAATCATCGTCGCCCCGTCGCCGTTTTCTGTTGTGTTTTTGGGGCCCGGGACCGCGCCGTCGCAAGGGGGAAAACGCAAGGCAGGCGACAATGCCGTCGCGATAATCAGCCGTGGTGCCGTGTGTGTGCGCGCGCGCGAGTGTGCCGTGTGCGGGGCCCGAACCGAACGGGGGTTGATCATCGCGCCGCGCGTCCCCAACACACACGCGTCCGTCCGTCCGTCGTCGTGCGTCGGCCGCGCCGCGTGCAGGCAGGTGTAATTTAATAAGCGCAGGCAGGCTGGGGAGGCTGGTGGCTGGCTGGCGATTTAACAGGATATCGATTTGTCTGGTGGCGGCGAGCCAGTGCCGCCGCCGCCGCCACCGCCGCCGCCGCTGCCGCTGCCGCTGCCGCTGCCGCTGCCGCTGCCGTTCGTCGTTCGCCGCCGTCGCCGCCGCCGCCGCCGCTGCTGCTCGCGGCACACACACCGCACTCGCACAGGACACGCAGCACCGCGTTACGGCTGTCAGGCGTTACGGGGACAGACAGCCATGGACGTCGATATTTTTGGGGCACAGCGGTGTGCAGCTGTGCCGTGTGCGTGCGCGACCGCGTGCCCGATAGGCGACGAGATGTGACGCGAGACGGCCGCCCCGGCGACGATTATTCCGTTTCAACACGAAGAGAGGAGAGCGTGGCCAGAACGGGCAGAGAACGAGAGAGAAAGAGAGAGACAGAGGGAGAGGAAGATAGAGGGAGAGAGAAAGAGAGAAGGAAAGAGAAAGATAAAGGAAAGACGTACGTATACACACACGGGCAATACACGGTTGCGATCGGTCCTGAAGCGGATGCCTACGTACGAGAAGGTCCGTTCGTTGTGTCGGCTCCGTCATACGTGTGTAACGCTCTTCCCGTAAGCTCGCCCGTTCAATTGTACGTGTAAGCTTTATTTATCGACGATCGTTGATAACGATGGAGCTCAACGGTGCGGGTACGCCCGTCGGGGCCGTGGCCTGTCCCGTGTGTACCCTGTATTTGCGCGAGGGCATCAGTCTGCAGAAGCATCTGGATACTCACCCCAAGGAACAGGTTATAGAGGCTCTCATTAAAGCCAGCGCCTCCACGTTACAGACCCAGCAGCACCAGCAGCATCAACAAGCTCTACCAGCGTCAGCAGCAACGTCATTACCATTATCGCTGCAGCCGCAGGCTGCGCTCCAGACCCCTACCTCCATCCAGGCGCCCCAAGCGTCCACCCAAGTATCGCATAACGCGCACATTTCCACTCACTCTCCGTATCCCGTAGGACCCATCTTCGAATGTCCGCCCATAAGCACCATGATGCCGCCGCAGTTCACCTCGTTCAGCTATCAGCAATTCGTGAACAATGGGACCATGATGATACCGCAGTACGCGATGGCGCCGCAAGCCAATCAGATGATGCAGATGCTGTATCCATACGGTATGTACCAACAGCAAATACCCACCGTCCAAATGATCTCACCAGTTGCAGCTATTCCCGGGGCGACGACGGCGACGAGGGTCCGACCGGTGGTCACCGTGGCCGGGGAGAGCAACGTCAGAACCCTGACGGTTCCTGTAAATAGTCCCGAGCCGAAGCAGATCCTACCGGAGATACTGCCGGATACGGAGCCCGACTCCGGGCAAGTTATACCGGACGTGACCCTCTCGGCCTCGCCTGTGCTGCAAAATGAGGATACATCCATCAGAGCGAGGGAGGAGAGCGACGGCGGCGCGCTGCCGATCGATCACCGAGGACAGCAGACGCAGGGTTCTGCGTCTCCCGGTGAAAGCGCGGCGCAGCACGAATACAATGCTATTCCTAGGTCTATTACAATTGCCTGCGCTATAGATGACACGGATGACAAGGTGGAGAGTGTATTGCCAGACATGGTGGACGAGGAGGAGCCATCGAACAACATTTTGACCACGGACTTGCAGTGTAAATCTGTGACGTACGAGCAATCGGAAACGCAACAGTTTACGCAACAAGTCGTCGACGAGGGATACGTGAGTGTATCCGGCAGAAAAATACCCAACGAGACGGTCGATATCGACTCCGTAGCTTCCGAGCGCGAATCGGAAGTGATGAGTGACGAAGGACCCGCGAGTCCCGGCAGCAACGTCAACATTAACGTCGGATCACCGCGGGATTTGATAGCGATAGACGCGTTGAAGGACTCGGTCCAACCTGAGCTTAACTCGGTGGAAAAATTGGAGAATTTGATAACCATAATGGAAACGGAGCTCAATAACGCTTCGCTTCAGAAGGAAAGTGACACGCCGAACGATCAGGAGAGACTGACGGACACGAAGGAGAAAACCGCTGCGGTGGATAGGGAGGAGACTGTGATTCACGACACGGTGGTCACGATGCCGGGCTCCCACGAGAAGGATCACATATTGCCCGACGTACGGGAGGAGAGCAAGTGGGACTCGAGCAATTACATACCCAACGAACTGAGAACGCTAGAGAAAACTTGTGACTCGTCGTACAGAGTAAACTGCATGAAAATAAATGACGCGCTGGAAGGACTGGAGAGAACTTTTCGTTCGGATAATTATAAGTATAGTTTTTCAGCGCCCGCGTCCCCAGTCGCGAGGAAGAAGAGCCGCAGAGTCGTGCGCCGCTACAGCTCGCGATCGGAGCATGGGTCGTGCGAAAATCTCAGCGTGTATCGCTACCGTGCCGCTTTCGACGACGCCGTAACGATGCACGAAGACGACGACGACGAAGACGACGACGACGACGACGATGACGAGGACGACGAGGACGTGGACGAGCTCGAGAAGATCGAGGAGGATAACTTCGACGAGGCGGACATGGAGATCGACGAGATTCCGAGTCCGCACACGCCTTTCGCGGACTGCGGCGTCAGATCGCACACGCCGCTGTCCACGATCAGCGGCATTTCCGTGTTAAGAGTTAGGAAAGATCTCAGCAAGCCGTGCTCACCCACGTCCATGCATTCGTTTCATCACGTGGACAGCGATAGCGTGACTCACGACGAGGACAGCAACGGCGTGGGTAACACCGCGGAGAAGGACCCAATCGACTGTTCGCAGGTGGACGAGGAGAAAATCAAGACTGATCATCAGCATCAGGAGACGCAGGCGGTGGCGGTGTGCGGAAGTATCGCCAAGGTTCAGGAGTCGAGCAGCAGTTACGCGTACCATCAATCAGTGATAACCGAGCACATCAGCTCGTTCCCCGTGATACACTCGCAGTCGTCCGTCTTGATGCACGAGTCGTATTCCATCACGACCAGCACCAAGACGCAAAACCTCCTGAATCTCTCCGAATCGATAAATCCCACAACCAGCACCGAATCGAGAAGCTTTCACTCCGCCAAGTCGTTGACGCCGAAGCAATCGATGGAACTGCTCAACATAAATGAAGATGCTCACGCCGGGCCAATGAATGTCTTTGAATTCGACGGACTGCAAATATTAGTTCCTAGTTCGTTTATAAGTGACTCGTCCCAGAAAGCGGTGAGTGCGACCAGCCAGCAATCTATGGCGAGTAGCGAGGGTGCAATAGGTATCGACGAGGAGGTGAAGAGTATTAATATGCGTGCCGACGAGACCATGCCGCCTAGGGGTGAATTGT